TCGCAACTGAGTTCTTCCACATTTTAAAGACAAATACCAGTGCTCCTTAAACTATTCCATAAAATAGAAAGGAAGGAATGGTTCCAAATTCATTCCATGAAGCCAGTATTAGCCTGCTACTACAACACGGTAAGGACACCTCAAAAAGAACACTATATAGACTGATATCCTTGATGAACATAAAGATGCAGAAATTGTCAAAAAAATAGTTATAAATTGAATTCAACATCACATTAACAATTCACACACCATGATCAAGTTAGTTTTATTCCAGAGATACAAGATTGGTTCAACATATGCAAACCAGTAAATGTAATATATCTCATACATAGAATTAAGGATAAAAATCTCATGATCACCTCAACACATACAGGAACATGAACAGGGAAAGCCTTTGATAAAATTCTACATCTCTTCATGATAATAACAATATGTACAGTACATACAGAAGGATCATACCTCAATATAAAAATATTACCATGCTATATATATTTTGCGCCATAATTTTTCCACTGAATATTATAGTTACTCACACCAATAATCATATCTCAAAACTATTACTTTTAATAATAGTACAGTTGCCTAGGTGTAGGTATAACAATATTTTACAATGATTCTATGATAAATAATCTCTGTAGTTAAATATTTATCATCTCTGATTATTTTCTTAAAATTAATTCATAGAAGTATAATTCTGAGATCAAATGATTTCATTTTTTTATATTTCTTCATCTTAATATATTCTTATAGTTCATGTTTCAAAATATTTTAAAGTGAGGTACTCTAAAAGATAGCCTAATGATATTTCTAACACTATGGAAATAATTCCACAGTTAAATAATTTTTTTAAAAAAAGACCTAAAAAAAGTTTTTAAAAGTTCTCTGTGTGCTATAGTTTGGATATTGAATGTTCTGAAAAGGTCCATTTGTTAAGGCTTGGTGGTGGAACCTTTAAGAGGTGGGACCTGATGAGAGATCTTTAGGTCACTGGGAGTGTGCCCTTGAAAAGGACTGTGGGACCCTAGCCTCTTGCTCCTTTTCTCTGCTTCCTGGACAATAGGTTAGTGGTGTTTGCCCTGACATATGCTCTCACCATGGTGCCTTGCTACAGGCTCAAATCTTCAGGAACAATTGTTCAGGGATCAGAACCTCCAAAACTGTCAGCCAAATTAAACTTTTTCTTTGAATAAGTAGATTATCTCAAACATTTGTTACAGTTATGGAATGCTAACATACTATAAATTCCCAACTCTTCCTACATCTACTCTCTGAACTTTATACTCAAGATTTGAACTTTTATTGAAATATTTCTTATTCTACTAGGAAATTTTTAAACATACATAAAAAATATGAATATATATTTTTAATTTTACATTTTGTTATTTTAGGCACTTGATAAATATTGTCACGTCATCCTTCAGAAAAGTTGTACCAATTTTCATTCCTACTGTTAGTGGATTTGACAACATTTTGCCAAAGCTTGGTTTTTATTTAAAGTATTTAGCCAGTATTGTAATTGAGTAAAATGATAAACTTAAGTTACATACATTTTTTCAAAAATTCTATATCTGGGAATTTATGCTACAAAATTGTATAGAAAGAATGTATGAAAAAATACATTGATGGTTGCCTAAGCCCCCCTACCTCTCCCCCACTATGAATCTACATCCTGCTAACAATATGCAGGATTCTCTTGCAGGCACTTATTTTCTTTTGTATTATTGTTAACAACCATTCTTACTGGAGTGAGATAATGTCTTCTTGTGGTTGTGATTTGCATTTCAGTGATGACTGGTGATACTGAGTACTTTTTTGTATGCCTATTGGCCATTTTACTTGTCTCTTTTGAGAAATGTCTTTTCAGATTTTTCTCCATTTTCTAATCAGCCTATTTGTTTTCTAAGTATTAAGTTCTTTGAGCTCCATATGCATTCTGGATATCAACCTATTATCTGATGTACAATATGCAAATATTTTCTGACATTCTGGAGGTTCTCTCCACTCCCCAAATTGTTGCCTTTGATGTGCAGAGGATTTTTTAATTTTACTCTTCTATTTGTCTGTTTTTGATTTTGTGTTCTGTGCTTTTAGAGACTTGTCCAAAATATCTTTTCCCATTCCAATGTCCTGAAACATTTTCACTACATATTCTTGTAGTACCTTCATAGCTTCAAAACTTAACATTTAAGTCTTCAGTTTTTTGGTTTATTTGTTTGTTTTTTCAAGTACTGGGGGTTGATTCCATGGTCTCCTGCATGGTAAACAAGCATTTTACCCCTGAGCTTCACCCCCAGCCCATTTAATACACTTTAAGTTGATTTTTCTAAGTGAAGAGCTACAGGGGTCTAGTTTTATTCTTTTTCTTGTGGATTCCCTCCCCTGTTTTTCCAACACCATATATAGAAAATACTGTCAATTTTCTACTGCACATTCTTATCACCTTTTTCAATAATAGGCTGCTGTAGGTGTGTGGGTCAAATTCTATGCTCTCTGTTCTGTTCCATTGCTCCATGCTTCTGTTTGTAACCCAGCACCATGCTGTTTGATTACTCCAGCTTGGTTGTGTATTTTGAAGTCAGTTCATGTAACTCCTCTTGCTTTGTTCTTTTCCTGCAAGATAGCTTTGACTCTTCAGCAATTTTGTGGTTCCCTGGAAATTATAGAACTGTCTTTTCTATTTCTGTGAAGAACGCCCTTGATGTTTTGATAGGGATTACATTGAATCTGCGGATCTTGTTGGGTGGAATAGACACTTGAACAATATTGGATCTTCCAAAACAGGAACATGGTGATCTTCTCCTATGATTTGTGAGTGTGTGTGGTATGTGTGTGTGTGTGTGTGTGTAGTTTTTAATTTCTTTCCTCAGTACTTTATAGCTTTCACTGTAGAGATATTTTACCTCTTTGTTTAAATTCATTCCAAGCTATTGTATATTTTGCAGTTACTGTAAATAGTATTGTTTGCTTGATTTCTATTTCAGATTATTTGCTATTGGTATATAACAACTCTAATAATTTTATTTTTTATATTCTGCAACTTTGCTAAATTCATCTATCACCACTAATAGTATTTGGTGAAGTCTTTGGAGTTTTCTATATGTAAGGTCAGCTCATCAGCTCATCTGCAAACAGTGAGTATTTCATTTCTTTTCTTTTCTTTTTTTTTTTTTTTTTGAGTTTAGATACTCTATTCTTTCACTTGCCTGATTGCTCTACCTAGCACTTCCAGAAGTTCATTAATTAAAAGTGGTAAAAGTGAGCATCCTTCTCTTGTTTCAGATTGGAGAGAGAAAACGTTCAGTGCTTACCCACTTGTTATGATGTTAGGTGATGGCTTATTTCATATGTCCTTTATTCTGATGAGATATATTCCTTTTTGCCTAGGTGGTTTGGCATTTTTATTATGAAGAGATATAGATTTTATCAAATGCCTTTTCTTCATCTTCATTCTATTAATGTGGGGTATTACATTTATTGAAGCTAGTGTTGAACCATGGTTGCATCCCTGAGATGAATACTCTTTTCAGTAGGCAGTTGAATTCAGTGTGCTAATACTTTGTTCAGGATTTTTTCATCTTTGTTCACCAAGAATATTGGCTGTGTTCTTGTCAGGTTTGGGTAACATGGTAATTCTGGCTTTATCAAATGTATTTGGAAGAATTCCTTTCTTTTCTATTGTTTGGAATAACTTAAGGAGAACTAGAAACTGTTCTTATTTAAATGCTTGGTATAGCTCAGCAGTACAGCTCTATGATCAGGGGATTTTCTTGATGGGAGGCTATTACAACTGATTCAATCTTGTTACTTCTTATTGGTCTGCTCAGCTTTTTTATTTCTTTTGATTCAATCTTGGTAAGGTATGTATGTGTAAGTGTTCAGGAATTTGCCCACTTCTTTTAGGTTGCCAAATTTTTACAAATAATAACAAACATGGATATCTTTGTTCCTAATAATCTGTGATGAACCTTTGTGTTTCCGTGATATCAGTTGCAAAGTCTTCCTTTTCTTGTGTGAATTTATTTGAGTCTTCGCTCTCCTTTACCTAGTTAGGCTAGCTAAGGGTTTATCACTTCTGTTTATCTCTTGAAGGACCAGCTCCTTATTTCATTCATCTTTTTTGCTGTTTTTAGCCACTAATTTATTTATTTATGCTATGCTCTGATATTATTTCTCCCTTTTCTCTAATTTTGGTTCTGTTTTGGGGTACTTGATATTTTTTATTAATTTTTTCAAGTTGTAGTTGGACACAACACCTTTATTTTTATGTGGTGCTAAGAATTGAACCCAGTACCTCCCACATATGAGGCAAGCACTTTACCACTGAGCCCCAGCCCCAGCCTAGCACCTGATATTTTCTAATACACTTGATAAACAAAAGTCTGCCAGGCTTTCTTACAAAGCACAGCAGACTAGGCATATTTCTGCCTTTCCTATTACATCTAACCTGGCATAAACACTTTCGGATCCTCTAAAGCAGATAGTTTTGATCCCTCCTCTACTACCGTTCTTTGAACTTACGGATTTTTCCATTTCATTCATGGTAGGATATCACCTTCTATCCTAAAAGAAGGCAAGTCCCTGGCACACAAGTGCTGTCTCTGAACAGTCAAGCTACAAGCTATGAACCATAATTATAAACTCTCCCTCATGCAGCTGTGATCCCATGATCACTGGGCGCTCCATGACTCAGCATACACACTGCCCCCTCCCTGCAGTCCAGGGCACTGCTTCTCCACATCCTCTGCCAGGCAGGCCCTTCCCTCACAGCAGGCCTGGCACTGCCCTTGCAAGGTCCTGTGCTGCTGGGTGTAGGCATTGTTCAGTGGGAGAGGGGAAGTGGGCCATGTCCTGGGAATGAGGTTGCTTGCCAAGTAGTGTCCGCATCTGCCTGAAACAAGGAAACATGCCCACCATAAACAGGTGGAGCACACAGCTTGGGAAGGGTCATTCTTGCTCTGCCAGCTCAGCCCTTCAGAGGGATGGGGAGAGGGTGCCTAAAGGATCCTTTCTCACCAGCCCAACCCTTACTCGCCCTTTTCCCTCACAGGCACTCACTCTCTCTGCTATGACTTCACCATCAATTCTAAGGCAGCACCTGGACAGCAATGGTGTACAGTCCAAGGCCAGGTGGACCACAAGAATTTTCTCTCCTATGACTGTGGCCTGGACAAGGTCAAATCCTTGAGTGCCCTGGGAGGGAAAGTGAGTGCCACAGTCACCTGGGAAGAGCAAAAAGCCACACTGAGAGAAATGGTGGATATGCTAAAACAGAAACTGGCTGACACTAAAGCAGAAAATGACTTGGCCAAAAGTAAGTAAGGATGTTCCAGGGACATGAGAGAGCTGATACTGGGTTTAGTGATATCATTGTGGCCATGAAAAAAAAAATGGGTGTTGGTTGTTCCAAAAAGCCCAGACAGGGCTGGTTTGGAGAGAGAACACAGCCAGATTAGAAGGAGACCAGGGAAGGTGGGACTGGGTGGGATGAAGGATTTGTTAAGCAAGAGGCTGATCTCTCTCTGATGGGGGCAGGTCTCCACACTCTGGAGGGCAGGATGTGTTGTCGGCTTAAATCCTGCCGCAGTCTGGCTGGGCACAAAATCACGAGCCACTCAAGCAGGAACAAACTTTATTTTTTGAAATTGCCACCAATGCCCCATAAGCTCCTGGGAAGATTGCCGATCAACGCACGCGGCGTTCTCCCGGATCCCAAGAGGAAGTTCCTCCTCCGGAATTCCCTCCTATTGCACTTCCCCAACCAATGGGAACTCTCCAGGAGTCCCTTAGCAGGTGTAGGTGGACAGCAGGAGTCCAATATCCATATGAATGCAAATCTTAACATAATCATATCATCTCAATGGCTTGCTGGCATCACCTTTCAACCAAAAACGCCATGCATCATATTACTTTGCTGTGGCTCTTAGCAAAATCCAGTGGATGCACCAGTGGCTCCTGGCAGTTTGGCTTCAATGGCCGGATGTGGCTTTGCTTTGACTCAGACAACAAAAGGTGGACAGTGGTTCATCCTGGGTCCAACTGGATGAAAGAAAAGTGGGAAAATGACAGAGAAATGACCAAGTTCTTACACAAGACCTCAATGGGTGACTGTAGAACCTGGCTTCAGAACTTGAAGGAATGGGAGGCAGAGCTGGAGCCAACAGGTAACTGGCAGGAGGGGGAGGAAGTGGGAGCTGCTTTCACATGAGTTGCTGCTACGTGTGTGTGTGTGTGTGTGTGTGTGTGACCCATCATCCACCTTGAGTCAGACCTGGGTTAACAGCCAAAGGTATAGTCTTCCCATCTTTTCCCTTCTCACCTCCTAATGCCTCTTCCTAAATGCACATGCTTTGGTCTGGCATTTGCTCGTCTCTTTTTGGAAATTCTTGTGAATCACTTCACATGTCAGCTCCTGAGACCCTTCTCCACCACCATCCTCATGGGTCACCTCATATTCTGCCACGAGGAAGGATGATTTTCATTGTCACCCAGGCTTCTCCCTTTATCTATATGAGATTCTTAAGGTCAGGACCCTTCTCCGGTCTCCCTTAGTCTTCATGACCTGTCACAGCAGCTGCCACATAGCAGAGGTCTAGGAACTATGTGCCTGCCTGAATGACATGGGGCATCAGGAGCTGAGCAGGCATCTCCACAGATTTTGCTCTGAACAAGGGCTAACTGTCTTGTGTTTCCACTTCAGGACCTTCAGTCGCCAACCCAGACAGAGTCTTCCAGGAGTCTACAGCCAGCGCGCTGATTCCCTGGGCCCTGCTCTGGATAAGGAGAGGTTGAGGGGGAAGGGGGAAGAAAGATGTGTGTCTGTAACCCCACCCAAGTTCTGGGAACCAGGTTCCAAGAACCCCTCTTTCCACAGGGTTCTCCCCATCCCCAGGTCCTATGGCCCCTCCTATCTGGAGGAGGAGCAGGCTCCCAGTCAGGGAGCAGATCCAGTCATTACAGCTGCAGTCCTGAGACACCAAGGCCTACTGCAGGGCTGGGGCTGATTCTGGCCTGTGAGAAAGAAGGGAGGAGGGTGGTAGAGGCTGCAGGACCCTTGGGTTATGGGTGGAGGGGAACACATGACCCAAGGTAAGCACCCAGGAGAACTGAGGTAGGATTTCTTCAGAGAGTTGAAGTAACATGTTTCTTGTCTAAAGGTTGAAGATGCTCCCAAGAAGCTTCTGAAAATGTGATTCAGTTAAATAACTGTCCTTACTGGTCTTCTGCCAGTCTACTACCTGCTCTTCCTCCATAGAGCAGATGAAGATTGAAGTACAAACCCACAGGCCTCAAACATGTCAGACTTTCCTATGTAGCCTAGAGCTCCTCTGCTTATTCAGATCTAGTGAGGATTTGGAAGAAACGTGTGTTGCACTTCTAGGAACACCATGAGCCATAATCAACTTCTGCAAGAGTCGGACTGTTCTGGTTGATGCTTTCACTCTCCTGTCCATTGCAGCAGCCACACACACCTTTCCTTTGCCACCCACTGGCTCCTGCCACCCCAGGATCTGATGACCCCCATAAAGATCCTGTAATTTCAGCTTCAACTTTGAGCCCTTTATTCTGTTTTGTGATAGTCCAATTCTGCACTCTTTGTTAACATGTTAGGCCAAGTCCTTTGCTAACCTATGGAATTGTACACTTAGCTCTGGCTGCTGGAACAGGAAATCTCAACAAGGTGTTTCCATCCTGGTCCTGTGTAATCAAATACTTCTCTGCACCTTGAGTTGACCTTTGTATAGACTGGATCTAGAATGTCCCCCAAACATCCATGTGTTGACTCGGGTGCTATTGAGAGGTGAAGAAAACTTTAGGAGGTGAGGGGTTGGGTATCTCTTTGAAGGGCTCTTTATGTCCCAGGCATCTTCCTCCCTCTCTCCCTCTCTTTTAAAAAAGAATAAATTACTTATCATTGCTACCACAATGTGAGCGGTATCTTCTGCCACAGATCCTACTGCCAGGATATTCTGCCTTACCTCAGGCCGGAAAACAATGCAGTCAGCCAAACTTGGACTAAAACTTCTGAAACAGTGAGATGAAAACTAATATTTCCTCCTCTAGGTGGCTGTCTTCAGATGTTTTGTCACAATGATGAAAAGCTGACTAACACTGCCTTGAGATGGTGCAATATGTCTCTAAAATACCATGGCAGCCTTCACTATTAACTTCAGGGACTCTGTCTGTTTTGTCCTATTTAAATAAGCATCTCTGTTTTGTCAAAAAAAGAATCTTAATGAGTTTGGAGTTTTTTATGCAATATGGTGGTTAATTTTATGTATCAACCCATTGCCTGGGGATACCCAGATAGTTGGTAAAACATTATTTCTGGGTGTTTCTCTGAAGGTGTATTTGGCAAAGATTTGCTTTGAAAGCAGTAGCCTGAGCAAAGCAGTCTCTCTCCCTAGTGTAAGCAGGCAACATCCAATCCTTTCAGGGCCCAAACAAAACCAAAAGTCAGATTCTTTGGAAAGGCAAATTCCTCTGTGTGATCGAGGTGTCCATCTGCCCTGGTTCTGGGATATGACAAGCCATCACTGTTTCTCAGACTTCATGACTCAGATCAGGAACTTACACCATCAGCCCTCAGTCCCAGTTCTTTTGTTCAGACTGAATTATACCTCCTGCTTTCCTGGTTCTCTAGCCTGCAGAAAAAGACTGTGATTTCTTGGCTTCATAATCCATAGACCAATTTCTACAATAAGTCTCTTGGTTCTGTTTCCCTGGAGAACCCTGACCAATAAAACTTTGTGGAGAATGAATGGCTTTTTGTACTTCCTTCACATTGTAGAGTAAATAAAACCAGCGATTCTGCTAAATTTGCTTATGTAAGTAGAATTTATGAATCATTCTTAAATTAACAGGAGTCTAGATGGTGATCTCAAACATTTTGCTGACTCAAAACAAATGTGCTTAAGGGATGAAATTCTTTCTGGTTTTACCCCAGCACACTTCACCCTTGATAGTGATTTTGGTTTTGTTATTGTTATTCCTCAACCTGACCTCACCTTCAATTAGAAGTAAGTTGTATGCATGTGGGTATGGGAGTATATAGTGGAGAACAAATTGAAAAACAATTCTATTTATCCGCTTCCTTCCCCCTGTAGAAATAAAACAAATCTTTACATTCAAAACAAAAAAAAAGAAGATGAGCTAAATTGCACAGTAGAACACTCTCTACTTTGAAAAGTTGTTTTATTTATAAATAGGATTAATATCCAAAATAAACAAAGAATTTTTACCCAAGTCAGTTATTCTGAGATATGGGCAAATGCTATGACCAATTCACAGCATATAACACTTCAACAAGATATAAGATATCTGAAATAGGTCTGGAGATATACCTCCATTGATACAGTGTTTGCCTTGCATGTACAAGGCCCTGAGTTCAATCTCCAGAACCACACACACAAAAAAAGTTATCTGAAATAATCAGTAACACAGATTAAAAGCATAATGGGCCATTATTACAACCATCAAATTGACAACTTCTTGAATATATCTGTACCAAGTGGTCAATACGAAAATGATTAGCAGAGTTATCATACTTATTGGTTGCAGCATAAATTGAATCAATCTTTGTTATGTAATTTGATAATAATCTCTACAGTTAACAATGTGCTCACCCAACTGCACAACAATCCCAGCTTTAGTTCTGGACTTCCAAACATGTTCCATATAGCATTTAGATTTATGATTATTGATTGCATTGTGATAGCAAGAAACAGTTCTGATTAATTCATTTTTCTTAGTATGAAGTTACCAAAATAATAGGCCTTACGTCCTCAGGGAAAAGTTGGGAGAAACATTAAGAGTATAATTTTGCATTTGTTTACCACTATTACACTCAATGTGACACACCTCCTTTTCATCCAAAGGATTATGGGTATATTATCTGGCTTAAGTCTTGAAATTCCTCTGTGTGATCTGAGGTGTCCATCTTCCCTGGTTCTGGGATATGACAAACCAGTAATATAACTGTTTTTATTATTGCAGTTAGACCTTCTCTCTTGGTCTTAAACTGTTCTGTTTATTCAGATCAAGTGAGGATTTAGTAAATCTCTGGTGCCATCCCCAAAATCTGAAATCCTTCCTTCCTATGGTGGGTGTGCACTCAGGGATAGAAAAATCTGCCTAGAATGTGGAAGAAAGGTAATCATGTTTCCCCTAAGATTAGGGAGGAGGAGGAATTATGGTGGAGCAGGGAAAGAGAAAGAAACATGCTCATTTTAAAAGTAAGTTGCATGATGGGGTTGTGCCTCATCAGTAGAGCACTCGCCTATGACATGTGAGGCCCCGGGATTGATACTCAGCACCCACATAAAAATAAATAAATAAATAAATAAATAAATAAATAAAATGTATTATGTCCAACTAAAATATATATATATATATATATATATATATATATATATATATATATATATATATATATAAAGTTGCTGTGGCTAAGCAGCAAGGACTATATTCAAAGCACAAAGTGGACCATTGTTACATTTCCCCACTGTCAATTTCTACATTCCATTTCTATGGAAAAATGGGCAATGACATCTCCAAATTGCTTTCTGCTGAAAGGGGGCAAAGTTGGGGGAAGTAAAACAAAGTCCTTGTTCTCTATCAGGTGGGGCATGGACAGTTAAGGGCATTTAGCATCAGAGCAGTTCAGAGGTCCACAGTGGCAAATGGCATGTGACTGGACAAGGCATACATAGGGATGGGATCATGCTAAACCAACAGTAAACAAGACACAATTTAATTACTTTTTTGTAAACAGTTAACACAAAAACAATTATTTCAGCCAGTCTCTGGAAACCATGAGGACAGTAACTCATAATCTTATCAGTGAAAAACATATCAAATTTATCAATGTAGGGGGTTAGGAAGATTTGCAAGTCTATGAGATAACATTCAAATTAACTCAGGACAAATTTGCAACTCTAGAGTCTTTTGTGATCATTATTATTAGGCACTCTCATATAAGAACCCTTACTTTATAAACTCTAGCTTTACTTACTTGTGGTAGGACTCACATAAGTGTATATCTTAAGTTATATTTAAAAACCCATGGTTTTTCCTTTTAAATGTCCATTTAAGACTGTGCTCAGTCTATCCTCTCCTGCCACGGATTTAAGACAAAATTGATCAAAATAGACATTGTGCCTATTTATTCTTTTTTAAATTTTATTTTAGTTGTAAATGGACACAATAGCTTTTTATGCATTTATTTTTATGTGGTGCTAAGGATTGAACTCAGTGCCTCACGTGTGTGAGGGAAGTGCTCTACCACTGTTTTGCCCTCCTACCTATCTCAAGAGCAAATTGAGAGATCACTCTTGGGAACATATGCAAAGCCTCTTAACTCTTAGCTTTCCTCAATGTTGAGTCAGAGGCCTGCTGACAATAAATGGCTCCTCTTGGAAGCATCAGGGAAATTTCTGTCCCATTACCAAACTCCTTTTTGCAGAATGTGCACTGGTTGGCTTCCTGTTTCTAGGGACTTCTAATTTCCCTGATCAGCAGATTGGATGACTCACCAGAGTTGTAGGGCCCAGAGAGGAATATTATCCTTTTCTGAGTCCTGGCTGAACTTAGAGGGCAAGGATCAAATATTTGGCTATTTTTCCTGGGCCCTTTTACTTCCTTGGCCTTGGTCTGCAAGTTTTTGGTTTTAAACACCCAGAAAGCCAGTTTTACCAGTTGTAAAGACGAGTAAAGTGTTATAACTTTAATATCTATAATTTTACAGATGCCACTTTTATTTAATTGGAGCTAGTATTAGTACTGGAAGTCATCATTATATATTATCTTTCTTGTAGGTGATGGCTTATTATCTCAAATTAACCCATATATTTTTGTTTGTTTGTTTACTTTGGGTTGGGTTTCTTTTTTTCTTTTTGAAGCAGTACCTCTGCAAAACACTAACAAGAAATAGATATAAATTTGTAAGGAAAATATAAAAGATAATTATAGAGCAAAACATATTCAGTTTGTGTAATATCTATGAGTCAATAAAATTATTTTTATAATCTTAAAATTTACTTAGTTATATGTTATATCCTATTTAAGATCACAGTAATCTTTACAACAAAAATAGATTTTTGAACACAATTCTAAATGACCTCAAGTCTAGTCTATTTTGGAGCCATTCTAACATGGAGTAAAGTGGGAGGCAGAGTCTTATCTCAGGTAGGGCAGAGATCTTAACAAATAACACAACAAAACATGACATCTAAAGCATGAATCAAACAAAGGCTAAGAGTGATTTAACTTCCTTTTTGTGGAAAAAGTGGCAAAATGCTTCCATGTTTTACAATGTCACCTTTAAACAGATCAGTTCTCCCTATTATGTTCCAAAAATGCATTTAAATTCTAATTCCAGTGTGAAGAGTAACACAAAATTGTATACACAACTTACTGACAACAGGTTACTTGATCCAGCTACAAAACATTAAATGACATGAAGAAATACCAATCAAATTTATTTTCTTATACAAATCCAAGTGCCTCTGTGCGATCCTGCCCCTATGCTTACCCAGTAGTGGTGAAGACGCCCTGAGCATAATCATCCTCTTGACTGGGGGATACTAGAGACTTGGGGATGCTCCATCTCTAAACTCACCTCCTACATTATATTATGGATGACTCCTCATCCATTCCCTCCCATAGTCCCCTAGGCTGCCTCCTGGCTAACCTAGGGTCTCTCTCACCCCAGACCTTAACCCCCCAAACCTTATCTGCTTGTGCAATCAGATCTGGCCTCAATATCCTTTGGATAATGACTCTAAATGGCTGCTTAATGGCACTCTTCATCCCAATATTATCAGGGATATTTTCAACTATTGTGAGCATCCAGGAAAATGGAAAGAGATGTCATATGTTCAGGCCTTCTCCTCTATTCATTCTAAGCCCTCTCTCTGCAACTCTTGCTCTCCTGCACAAGTCCTCTTAGCTCTCACCTCCCCTATGACTGCTTCCAAAGGGACAGAAGATTCTACCCAGGTCTTCTTCTCCTTTGACACAGCAGATGAGCCCCTGCCACACCACAATTCTCTTTCTTGTGGAGCCTCCATAGCAACTGTTCCCTCGAACCCTCCTCCGTTCTCTCCTACTGCCACATGTTCATAGACTGCCGCTGCCCAATCTGCATCTCTGTGTACTCTATGTGAGGTAGCTGGGGTAGATGGTGTAATCCAGGTTCATGTGCCTTTCTGCATGTTAGATCTTTCACAGATAGAAAGATGGCTTGGGTCCTATATTTCAAGTCCCACCACATATATCAAAGCATTTCAATATCTGACTCAATCATATGATTTGACCTTCCATGATGTCCATATGATCTTGTCTAAAAATCCTCCTGCCTGAGGAGCACAGACAAGTTGGGGAGCAAGCTAGAAATTATGCTGATGAGGAACATCAGATCTCCCCTACCCATCTGATTGGCACTGAAGCAGTCCCTGATCAGGACTCCAATTTAGATTTTAATTTGCCTAGAGGAGTAACTAGTAGAAACAAATTCATTATTTGCTGCTTGGCAGGACTTAGAACGGCAGCCCATAAGGCTATCAATTATGAAAGTCTCCAGGAAATCTTCCAAGATAAGAATGAAAACCCTTTAACATTTTTAGATCACCTGACCAAACTTTTATTACAATATACTAAACTAGACCCTGAAATTCCAGATGGGAGCAACTACTAATGACCTTTTTCTCCCAGAATTTCCCCAATATTAAGGCCAAACTAAGGTGCCTCAAGATGGGGCCCCCAAACTCCTCAAGCTGAGGTTCTGGAAGTGGACTTTAAGGTGTATAACAAGAGATGAGAAGGCCTGAAAGCAGAAATATCAGATGCTCACTCAAGCCATCCAGCCAGCCTCAGCATCTGTCCCTGGTTCCATTGGCCCACAGAAGGATCCCTTGGGACCACCTGGACCCTGTTTTACATATGGTCATATGGGTCACTAGGCTCATACATATCTTAAGCCTCACAAGTTTCGAGGCCCTTGTCCTAAATGCTATCAGAAGGAAAAGTCCTGAGCCTATAGTGGCCCTGGCCATCCAGCCCTTCTGGTTCCCCTTTCCAATTCTTAGGACTGGCTGCAGAGGACTGACGAGGTCGAGGACCCCATCACCCAACCACTACCATCACTC